TCAGGTGGAAATCTGCTACACTTCTCAACTAGTGTGTAGCATTTATCACTAACGTTACAAAGACAAAATTAAATATATTGTTGATGAAAATCTGGAACAAGTATTATGTTTTTATATGGATAAATTTGACAAATTAAAGCTAGAAAAAAGAAAGGACTGTTTTGAACAAAGTTTATAAGATCAATGTCTGGCACAAACGTGTACTTGTTAAATGTTTAAATATTTAAAATGTAAAACCCATTTTATTGTCTCGTACCTATGAAAGACGCCAATGTACATTCAGTGCTCGTATGATCGGTGTTGTCAACAAATATCACGCTATTATACCACTTTCAACGTCATCAATACACGTACATCTTTCCTTACTTACAAATACTGAATTCAAATTTTGAATTTGTTCCTATAATGACAGTATAATTGGAATTACCGAACGATGATTGAATATGATTGATGGTGACGTCAGTGGTGTATTATATCAGTAATTGTATTCAGAACTATTTCGGAAGATGCGTTGATGATACTTTAAGGGTACCCTTCCCCTAATTTTGGGCTTTTCGTAGAAATGCCGTGAAATAAAAACTAAAACTCACTAAGGCTTCATATTTTCAGAACTAATTGGAAACTCAATGGAGCACTTTTCGTTTCAAGTTTTTAACTATTGCCGTTCACCAGCTTTCTAGAAAACTCGACTTTTCCTTGGGCCACATTACTACTTCCCTTAAATTTCATCCAATCGAGTTAAAAATTTTACCAGTGGTATCCAAGACAATAGCATAGCGCAGAGATGGATTTTAGGAATTTTATTTTAAACCTTTCTTTACCGAGTTATAGGAAAAACACCGAAAAACTTTCAAAAACCAAGTTTTTCAATTTCAGAAATCCTATAGCTCGGTAAAGACCGAGGTAAAGATCGAGGTAAAGAAAAACCGAGTTTTCTGGAAAACTGGTGAACAGCAATAGTTAGAAACTTGAAACAAAAACGAAAAAGTGCCTCATTGAGTTTCCAACTAGTTCTGAAAATATGAAGCCTTAGTGGCTTTTAGTTTTTATTTCACAGCATTTCTACGGAAAGCTCAAAACGAGGGAGGGGTACCCTTAATTCATTCATAGGCTTTTCAGAAAAATAAATCGTTGTAAATATTGATGATTAAATTTTTCTGTTGACAAATTCATTAATAACTTCAAGACACTGGATAACAGTTATATTGGAGTAGATTATGAAACTATAAAATTTTAAAAATCTAAAAAGTTCAAAAAGACATGTGGAGAGCAACAAATAAATCTAATTCAGAAAATTCCAACTAAATGACGCTAAAGCCAAACGGTAGTTGGCTATATAACACAGCATCCAAATCGACGTCATGCAATAAGTTAAAAGTGTGTAAAATATAGGCGATATTTTAACCCTTTCCAGCCTGATGTTGTCATTTGGCAACACTTTTGCTGTGTTTTAGAAACACCCGGCTGAAAAGGATTAAGCATATTGATGATAAAAAATCAATCGCTTTAGAATCTTTATAGTATGCAGTAGTTGAAGATAAAAGTAAAGATATGTTGGCACAATAGAAACTAGAGAAAAGGAGAGTAATTAATTTCTGCTTTTCATAAAAATAAGATCATGGAAAAAAAAGGCTTTTTTTTCAAAAAGACAACAATAAACAAAAATAACACAAATAAAACAGCTCGTCTTGATTTAGAAAAATAAATAATGTTTTGTGCAAGACAATAATTTTAATCGACAAAAGACTACTTTAGTTTATGATAGAAAATTCACTTGATTGAATAAACGTTCTTTGATAAGTTGAGACATTAGACCATTTAGTGCTTCAACAGCTGTTTTAGAACTAAAATGACAAAGATTTGTAAGAGTGAATATATATTATACTGTGTATGATTTAAAAACTCACCAATCTTTAGTTGCTTTAGCTAATTTATCATCAGTTTTTTTTTCTTGATCCGGTAATGCAATACTAAAACTGGAACGTCCCAAATGTCCTTCAGCTTGTTCTAGTTTGTCAGCCAAATCATTGATTTGTCCAGTTATATAATCAGCATTTGTCAATAATGTTGACGTACTAATAATAACAACAGATAAGATATTAATTGTTACGTAAGATTACTGATTAAACAAAACATTTACCTTAATGTACTAACCCAATAACGATTCCATAGATATTCTAATAAACGTTTATCTAACGATGATTTAAAAAATGATACTTCTAGTGGATAATATTGTTTACAATGAACACCAAAATCTTCAATTTTGTTTAATGGAATCTAGAGAAAATGAAGTGTTTACTTGATCCATTCTTTAGATAAAGAAGAACTCGCACTTACAGGTTGATATTCAAGCGGACCATCATCAAGTGATTTATGCCCTTTTGGATATGTTCGAAATGCACCGATATTGACTTTTCCAGCCGAGATTGTTCGTGTTGGATCGACCTAAAAACAACTTATATTTTATAATCCAATATTAACAATTATAAAATGATTACTTACAACAATAGCTACGAATGGATCTTGATATTGTTGATTTTGCATTTGTGTATCAACATCAATACCCGATAACCAACATCCATAGCCGGGATGAGAATGATACCAACCAATAACATTTTCTGGACGATTTACCTGTGATACATGAAAATACTTAGAATAAAAATGAGATATTACGCAAGACGCTACGTTTACCTCTTTAGCTCTCAACATATAACTACTCATATATTCATAAGCTTCTTGTTGTGCATTGACACGTGTTTCTAAAATATATAGTAGGAAAATACGAAAACATGTTTATTTGAAGATCTCACGCATTCTCTAACCAGTTCCTTCAACAGGCAATGCAAATGAATCCATAACAATCATATTTTCACCATCAGGTTTTCCTAATAGCATTCCCATTACTTCTATATTACCACCCGAACGTGCATGCATTACTAATTTTAATAATGCTAATGCAGAAATTTTACATCGTTTAAAATAATTTGGACTAAAAGTCATTAAAAAGTAACAAAACTAGAACGATTTAAAAATTAAATGAAAGACAAATTTACTTTTGCAACCATGGACGTGCTTGTAAAATGGATTGTTGTAAAGCATTGTCTAAAATTCAGCATTATTAAATACAAACAGAAATAGACATAAAATCATATTCCTCATACCATATGCATAGATTTCATCTATTGCTGCTAGTTCTTGAACATTGTTTGCTTTTTCAAATAAATTCAAATTTTCTTTAGCACCTGACATTTTTCAGCAAAAAATCACCCTTTCTACAAAAAAAAAGAGATAAACAAAAATAGAGAATCGTTATACCGAGAAAAATCAAATAATGGTTTTGAAAACGAGTGGCAAGTTTAACTTTTAATGAAAGTTGAACAGGGAAAAACAAATAAATTGGATAATTACTTTCTTGATAAAGTGAAAACACAATTATATGACAATACAATGAATACGCAAAAGACAGTAACGTCACTTGCTGCGGTTTCGCAGACAAACATTAAAAACAAAGTAAAACAAAAATATTTTACAAAATTTTTAAATAAACAAGTAGGATTTGCACCAATAAGAAACAATACATGATGATATTTAATTACTCCTTTTGTGCCCGCTTTACAAAGATATGCAGTACATCATTTGACTGTAAATTTTCAGTTGTCTAATAACAGCTTGTTTCAAGCATTTGTCAATTGCTTTTCACTGTCAATTCTTTTACTCTAGGCAATAAACGCATGCCATTCTAACCAGGACTTCCCGCATCAATGAGATAAACCAGGACTTTTACCTGAACCTCTACCTGTAACCTGTCGGCATAAGCAACATATCAGCTATTGACTATATCTAGCAGTGTGAAACTGAATTATTTCATACACATTTTCTCTCCTATTGGAAATTCTGAGAACAATGTGAAAAATCGTAATAACCTTATTACCTAAAGATATTTTTGTTCAAAATATCTATCACGTGCTTCTCATATATTCTAAGAACTGTTCTTAAACTCTAGTACAGGATATTGTAAATTCGCACTATCAGAATTTTTTCATGCAACGGACCCAGCGTCCAGGTGATAGGTCCAGATCCAGGTCAGGTCCAAGTCTAGGCCTATTTTTTTCAAGTGCAGGTCCACAGGTCCAGGTTCAACTTTATAGGTCAGAACCAGACCCGAGGCAAAATTGTTCATTAGATCGAATAACAATAAGCCACCTTACAGTTAAACTTTCTAGTTTCTCCTACAAGTTTTGACCCTGACCCGCACAGGTCAAGGTCTAGGTATCCTGTCTCTGGTTCTAACTATAATCGACCACTAAAGCAAATTTTAAGTCGTTTTTTCGACAGACCTACTAACTATTTGTATAAACTATGACAACAGGTCTTTTTCACCAGCACAAGGAATATTGTTATGGTCGAGAATGTAGCGAAAAACAAAAACCTGCCTTGATTCTGTCTTTTGAAGACTGACTTCGTTGGATACCTTTCTTTATGTTCAACATAAATGGCTTTTATATGACTGTAAACATTTCCTCTCTATTTCCTGGGTTTCTTTATCAATTTTATCCATGTGTATTTCTTTCAGCTGTTCCACAATTTTCTTCTGAGATTTATCCATCAGCCAAAATATTCAGAAACTAAAAGCATTTTTGTCTTGCATAGGGTTGGATAGTTTTCCAATGTCGTAAACCATAATTACTCATTGATCTATCTTCTTGATGTTTCAAACCACTTAAAAAGTCTTAGATTGTGTTGAGCAATACATTGTCATTAACAACTTTTTTTTAATGAAATTTTCAGTCAGAAGCAAATTTAGATTAGCAGAATTGATTCATGCCAACGAGTGACAGCCTCATCGTCAAGCATATGGACTAAAAATATGAACCGAGATAGTGGTAACTATTGCTTGTTTAAGAGGGCAATTCGATCTTACATACGCATATTAGCTGATATTAAAAGCCGAGCAAATCATCTAATACAACCGAATGTGTCAAACTACTGTCTCAGATACGAAAACTTTTCGAAAAACTTCTTTTCAATGAAGTACATTGCATGACGATATAATGTTTGAATGACACAAAACTGATTCTTGAAAGTGGACTGGTAATTTTTTACCAACTTTCAATTGGAGTAGGACATACCAAGATCTAGATGAATGCGAAGCAAAATACAAAAGAAATTGTGTTGCTTGTGATTGATTAATCCTTTCTTTTGCATTTTCTTCTTATATTGTTTGGATAATGGCTCATGGTGTCTACCAATGAAAATCAGTGTTATATTGTGACATCTTTATGTCGCTCTCCTGTGTAATGAGAATAGCTGACTTTGTTTTGATCGAAAAAATGTGGAGTTGCGAACTCATCTGCAATTTGCTTTTGTTTTTCTCCGTAAGTATGAGGGACAGGTATGAGGTATTTCTATACAAAACATTAAACCAAGAAGGCTGCTGATTTTATCATACATATCGTCAAAAGCCACTCATCTCATCAAAATCGCCTAACTTTTACCGATTAATCGCGATTTTGACTCAAAATGGTGATTAATCGCGATTAATTGTACGACTAACCGTGATAAATCGCACAATTAATCGCCGATTTTTTTTGCTTGTCACTATGGAAATCCAGCAGAAAAATCGTCCAGTTATCAAACAGGGTTGACAATGTCCAGGAATCGACTTCTCAAAATGTTTTTATTTCCACTTACATCGATAGAGAATTCAATTTCATGTGGTTTTTCGTATTTTTTGGAGCTTCGAAATGTATTTTGTTGTGAAAATAAATTATAATAAATTATTAACCATTTTTACGCCGGATTGCCATTAATAATTTGTGAGGTAATCTCTTTGTGATCGCTAAGTGTCATACAGCAACAATACTTCTCGAAGAATATGCTGATTTTCAAAAACTGAGAGAACTTTCCGAATCTACGATGTTAAATACTAAAACGAGCAGATTATTACATAGTGGTTAAAAAGGATATAGGTAAAAAAATCTTTCCTGATATGTTTCAGCAAACTGTTGCCCGAACATTTTTAATAGTGTTTAGTGTTCGAATGTTTTTTCAGTGAAGTTTTTGTAACAAGAAGTTTCGTTTAAGGGTCCCCCCCCCCACTCAGAAATTATCTCTTACACTGTGCATCCGATCTTGACGAAACTTTCCATAAATGTTCGACACAATGAGTTACTGGAATGAAAAAAATTTTTTGCCTCCAAGTCTTACGGTTTAGGAGTTTTCCAGAGATCAAGGTCCAAAAAGGACCCTGAACGGCGTCCCAAGATTTTTTAATATACTTCAAGCTGGAG